GAGATGACAAAAAACTTTCGGCAGGGGTCCAAAACTTCTGGCAGATAGAGAAGAACGACTAAATGGTAAATTACGTAGTTTACTCCAAAATTAAGGGAAGAAAAAAGACTGTGCGGTATGTTCTAACCTTACAAGTACAAGAAGGCAGGCGGGAACTGGACTACCCATCGGTGACTGCTTCGAAAGTTACCATACAGTACAACATTTTCTATATTGTATATAAATTTATTTAATGATGAGTGATTATGATAATGTTAGGTTTTATTTGTGTTTTTATTTATCCTCAAGATTTATTATTTTTGTAGGCCATTATTTTCCAATTTCAATTACATTTACAACTCCAGCGATTTAAAAAGTTTATGTGGATAAAATTGATACTAATTAGGATCGTGTTTCCGTAGGCGTGCGGAGAGTGGAGGGGTGAGCGGGGGAGGGAGTTTACGGCATCGTGAAAATTCGATTTGCCCAGTAGATATCGAACGCGCGGCCGGGTGGAAAATCGGGTAAAAACGATGGACAAAGACGAGACTGTAATTACGTTTTGAGCCGCAAGAAATCGTATCGATGATCGCGAAATAAGTTAATTGACGAATCGGGGAGGGTTCTTTATAAACTGACGTTTCCTTCGCCTTGAATGAAAAAAGGACAATGCGGAACAGGGGAATGGTACCTGTTTGACATCTTGAAATTGAAATATTTTGGATTCTTAAAGAATTATTTGCAAGATAGTCAGTCAGATACAGTCGAGTTGGTCGATTTCGTACAAGCTTCCGAGTTTAAGTTGATTCCGCAGGGTTTAGTAATTTCTTCTTCTTGTGAAGGTTTGGGAAACTATATCCACCTCCTGAGGTCTTTAAGCCATAAGTTTTTGCGGCTTTCTATCGATCTTTTTCCTTGTTATCGACAACGGACATCCATATCTTCCTCATAATGACCCAAATACTGAGTTTCTCTGTTTTATTGTGTCCAAGAACTAGTAATTTAGCAACATCTTTTTCGTTATATTTGTCTGATATGAATCAATGCGTGAAACATTCTGTTGTTGTTGCAGCAAAAAAAATTAGGTACGCCTTAAGAATATCTACAATTTAAAGAAATTTTATAAGATTAACTTGGCAAACAAAAAAATCAATTTGGAAATTGCAAAATTCTTGTATGATTAATAGGAGGAAACTGCACGTGCATACATAAGGTTTGTGTATGAAATTGTAAAATCAGGAAAACGAGATCCTACGTTCCCAAAGAACAAGAGATAACTTACGTTGTAAAATAGAAGCATTTCAAAGATCTTCAACATATGTGGCAATAAAGATTTGGACTCCGATAAAAAAAATATTGGCCTACACTAAATAAATTAAATCTACATTAACTACAGAACAATTTATTTTTCTTTTTGTAACATTTTTTAACTTTAGCGTTTTTTTTTTTTTCGTTTTTTATTTTTTATAAATCTTATGCTTATGGTAGTTTGTGAAATTGTGAAATTTGGTATTTATAAAGTTACATTTTTTTACAAATAAAGTTAATTATTATTATTATCTTATTTCCATTGAGCGAATCCAAATATTAGGCATAGTAGTTTTCTTCATAATTCATCTTACTTGACACAAAAAAGATTTTAGTTGATTTTGACAAAACTCGTCTAAATTTTATGTAATTGAAACAAAATTAGTCAGAAAAATCAAACTTTTTGACTGTTTTTTGTTTCTGGCTTCGTTTAAGGAAATAAAAAGCCGCACCAGGACTAAAACAATTAATAATGACTCACGATATAAACCGAAATATCTGATTAATGATGAGCCATTATTAATTGATTTAGTCCTAGTGCATAAAGGAAAATGAGGCTTTTTATTTCCGGACACAAAAAAATGACTAATTTTATATTATTTATAATTATATTTGTTCGTTTGATCTAAAAGACCCGCTAAATCTTTAAAAAAAATCAGCAGCGTACTATAATTTTTGTATGGGAATGGGGGACGATGAGACGCAATTGAAATTAATAATTCTGTTTTAAGTACACCAAAATCAGCTAAAAGATTTTGAGTAATTAATAAAAAAAAATATTTTTCTATGAACACCTTTTCACTTGAAGACAACATTGGCAATAAGGAACTTGGAAGCACCCTGTATTATTTTATGATTTAATTTTGGCATCCTGTATTTGCATAATTTGCAGAGACGCCCCGTGTAATCGACTTTTATCAGGCAATTCCTTTATTTGAACGAGAATCGAAAATATTTTGGCGACGCAGCCGCCCTCGGGCGAGTAAACAAAAAGGGCCGCCCCGCCGCGCTCGCCGGCCCATAAATAACCCTTTATGCCTAATTGTCACGTTTTCGATAAATACCCGGCGGTATAGTAATCGAATTTTGTCGACTAACGATCATATGAAAATGTCACCCTTATTTACGACGGGTTAAGTGTTCCAGACCGTGAATGAATCTCACTTAATACGGTTTAATATTGACAAGCGGGCGGCCTAAATCAAATTGATTTACAATTTGCATTGTCCGTAACGCATCCCTCCCTTCCCCACCCAGCACCGCCAGGATTCGTGCCGGATTCGATGTCCAATGCAGAATTATGTCGGGGAACGGACTCGATCCCCTGGAGTATTCGAGGATACTAATACGCGTATTAATTTCAGTCATATCTCTCCAATTTTCCGCTTTGTCGGAGTTGCAAATTTTCCACGCATTTTGGTAGTGAGTCGCAGCTTATAGTGACTCCCATATGAGCGCCAAGTAGCCGGGTGTTTGGAAAACTCTAGCGGATGAATGAGAAGATGTTATTATTTACCGTTTGCTGTCTTCTATTAGTTCAATTGTTGAAACTGCTAGCAACAGATGTAATCCGGGGAACAAAGGAATCTTTCTCGTGCATAAGTCAGTTCTCAGGTTCAAGAATTAGAGCCTATTCCCCTATGACGTTTTCCTTTCACCAAGACGAGTTTTCTAGGAGCATGGACCGGAGTCGTTAAATTTCGCACGAAGCTTGGATGCGCCGGTGTGGTCGAATGCCGCGGCCTTGGGGATATAATTTCATCAAAACCGCATCTGTTGACTGGCCGGCCCAACCCTGCGGATGTTAATATGTACCCGGTCCCCATAAAGCATTGTTTACCTCAGATTTCGAAGTCTGGCTGCCTCCGAGGCTGTTATTTATGTGGATTAGTCTGGCCCGATGCATATTTGGGCCGCCCAGTCTCGCTGGCAATCCGGACATTTGCGTTTACTGCAATCACGTGACAGATGCGGGGCCATAAAGTCCGTCGCCGTTATTAAACGGGGGTGGAACGGCCCATTCAATAGAAACCCCCGAAAAATCGCCTCGGGGAGGCTGGGGTTGCTCGCCCCTAGAAAACTCCCCTTGGATGGGGCAACAGATAGTAGACGGGCATGCCCGAGCCTACGTCCATGCGATTTAGAAGCTTAGGAGTTGATTGATTTTATCCCAGTCGACCAATTAATGAAAATTTAAGTCTGATTTATGACGTATTGGATTAAGGTGAAGTATAGATGAATTTGCATGCATGACGATCAAATTACCATTACTGCAGCTTTATGAATGTATAACGTCTTTGGAGAAGTAAATAAAAATATCAAAACAATATCATACCAGGGTTGGATTTTTCAGCCTTGAAGTTATTTGGTTTATACATTCTACGAGGAATTTCAATTGGGATCTTGTGAACCCAACTGACTCTCCCGATCCAAAATTTTACTACCAGCATCTAATTTCACCGTTCATTAGTGATAGCTGTCGGCATTCAGTTGTTGTCTGGATTCTTCGCGGATTTCTGTTGTTCTTGAGCTCTCAGTGAAGAGGTAAGCAAGATGGCGGTGTGTTCCTTAGGAATGCATGTTATAATTTAGCAATATGATTGATGAAAACAAAGACAAAATGGCGTTTATGTGCGACGAACGACTGTAAGTTGTGATGATGAAGATGCAGTGAGAGATTTGAAAGAGAGGGGAGACCCCGATTAACGTCGAAACCGCTTCTTAAATAGCCGAATTAAGGAGAATTTGAAGGTTAAAGACCTCGCGATAAATCAACAGCGGGTTGTGTGCGTACTCATGTCGAACGCAAGCAGGCATTTGTTTACAGTTTTCCCCGCAGGAGTCGGACCAGGCGCAAGGTAGGGGGAGGTGGGGCGCGTACCGAGGCCGAAATAAAAATATGCTGCCTTTTATGTTTTATCGCCCGTATCCGAGTTTTACGGGACACGGAAATGAAATATCAGCGACGCCGACGGACTTTTATTACCCGTAAGGTACATATTAAAAGGTAGTTACCGGCAAAGACGACGCTCTGTCTTGTGGATTAACTCAGCACGTAAAACGTCATTGTGTCACACTCTTCTGCTACTTTGTGAACGTCTAGAACCTCCAGGGGTGGGACTCTCTAATTTGTTTTATGTGATCATGAGATTTTTTTATAGCTATCATAACTTGAGACGCTAAAATAGATGGCGGGTATTTTGAAAAAGGTGACATCGTTATAACAGAAAATACAAACCCGTAGCTATTTTTTGTAGGGGAATAGGGAGAAACGGTACTTACGGTCATCTAAATTAGACAAAGGAACACCATCAACCGCCAATGTTTACAAAAGTTTCTCGGAATTGCCCCTTATTCTTCAGTGTTCTGTGCCGCCGACTGCACCCGTACCATTCGGCCACCTTTAAAAGTCACTAAACCTCTCGGAACCAGTTCCTCGTCTGCCCGTGCCCCCCCCAGCCATGGTGCACCGTCTCCATCACGCGTAGCACATGGCCTGTATAATCCAAACGATCGTGCCGCGACGTTGCCAGTTCGCCGACCGAGAACTTCAGCTGTTCTCGATTGATAGTTCACGCACACTGCCTTATGGTTCGCTCGCCTGTGTGTGTGTGTGTGTGCTCGCGGGGGAATTTCGAGTTGTCAGAGACGGCAACGTCTCGTCGGTGAAACCTGATTGTAGTATAAACACTTTTTGAGAGGTTAGTCGGCACACGGACGCGTTTGTTAGACGCTGGTCGCGCGTTTCGGGGGAAATTTTCCGTTTTCTCGCGTGATTGTGAGGAAATCTCGTGCAACACGTCCGCAGCTAACGTTAGAGCTATAGCCGTCTGGACGTTCTGACCGGTAAAGCGAGAGTGTTGTCTGGAGGATCGTGTTTCGCGTGTTGTAGTTCTGAGAAGTGCATCGAGGCAACGTGATCATTTTTTTTGTAGGTGTGCGCGATTTAGAATCGGTGCGAGGGATTATCGAAATTGCGAGTTGACCGAACGCGATCAGGTAATTACATCGAACTTTAATATAATGAGAGTTCGTAAGAATCGAACTCCGATTGACTGGATACCGCATGAGCGCTATTTTTGTAAAAGAGTTTACTTTGAATATCGTCTCTGGAATGTGAAAAGAGATGCAGGTTGAAACTAGTTTGAAATGACCTTGTGTAGATGCGTGACGACACCCAGCTCGGCTGCCTGTCATATCTTGTATAAGTTCAAAGTCTGTGACCTTTTCGGAAGATTTATTCTAGCATTCCCTTGCTGACAAATAGAATCTTGCAGTTGTAACGGGACAGGTTGCAACACGTTACTAATGTAGCATTGAGTCTTCAGTCCCCCGTAGGTCTACTGCTCTACCTCCTCCATATTCACGTAATTGTAGAGACACGACGTGCCTTCTTAACGGAGGCACTGCTAACCGGAGCATAATTCTAAAAAAAATAGCCCTTTATTTACAATAAAAACGATTATTCAACACCGCCAAGACATATATCAGAACTAAAGAAATATACCTGGCCCTCCCCTGCCTCGTTAATCAAATTAGAATATTTTTTTTGTTTTTGTTATATTGTTGATTGATACCGTACTACTACAGAGTAAAGTCGATTTTCAAGAATTTGGCGACAAAAATACGTGAGTATTAGGTGAAAAATAGTGTTCCGACTACTTCTGCGGAAAAACCCGCAGGCAAACGTCGAATTATCTAGATTGGTCTAGATTTATGCGTTGATTTCACCGGCGAAATTTGCATCTAGAAAACGGAGTCCTACAGAGTAATTTAAATAGGAACGCTTTTGATTTCGTGATTCTTCCTGTGTTATCTCGGTGGTGCAAGGGACAATCGGAGTTTTTCGAAATATACCTGCCGAAAATCGATATCAACCTTTTGAAAACATCTCCCTTTGTAGTTGACGGTCGTTACACCCTGACTCTCTCTCTCTCTCTCTCTCTCTCTCTCTCTCGATAACAGAGAGTTCCTATTGTCAGTTTTAGGCAATCACGACCCCATATTTAAACCTCGTCAAACTAAACAGAAGCGGCGTTAATTGATATTACGATAATTATCGGTAAATTTACACCTGAGCTGATGACGGCTTTTAGTGCAGTGTAAAATATTCTTCGTCATGCTTAGACGCAGATGCGAGTTGGCCGCGATCTCTGACGTCGGACAGCTCTAATCTAATCGTTGCGTATCAGGAAGGATTCGTCGACCTCAAACCCATGTTTTTGCACACAACTTTGCGTATGCGAATCGTCTATACTCTATACTGTGAAATCTGGTGTATCAGCTCAGTGCGATCTGTGAAATCTTTGACATGTTTGTGTTCATGACGTGTTTCCTTGGAGTTTTGAGCAGACATTAATTAAATCAAATTAAAATAATATTTAAATAAAATTTTTAAAAAATACCAACGTGGTAATTATTAAATATTTTATTTTATATTATTTGTAGGTTGGCGTCTAAATTTGGTTGGACAGGAACCAACTTTATTAATTATCAAATGCTTTAAACGTGCACTTTTTTTTATAAAGAAAATTACGTAATTAGAGTTCTATTTAAAATGCTCCCGATGTGTAAATAAAAAAATTACAGACAGAATTAAAAAAAAAATGGAACATAAGTTTTATGTCTGTTTTAAAGGTTGCATTGATTTTTATTTGAATTCTGGCATTGTGACAACTCCAGACATTTTTATAAAAGAGTTTTCGGAGGTACCGTATTTTTTTATATATATTTGTTATTTTTATTTATTTGCTTATTATTTTATTTTTACTTATTTTTTTAATGTTTGAATTATTTTTCAAGAACATTCGTAAAAAATATTTCAAAAACTCTAGTCTATGCCTGTATAAGTTCTATGCTTTGGTTGGTAATTTGCACCTCGCTGAGATCATTTTCTATACTTCTAAAGAAACAAATTCCGTTGCATATGATCAACCCGAAAATTGACGCTGTAGCCGAGTTTTAATGTAAATGTTAAATTCGTGTTATCAGATCAGTATTACAATCAGTAATACAATCGACGTCCGTGGAGGAATCTACAATTCTGATAATTTTTGATTGATGCCATAACTTACGTTAAGGTCGGTAAGGTGATAAATAAAATGCCTATTTTTATTTATTTTACTTGTTTATCAAGGAACGTTAATTGATTACATAACCATTAATTTTGGCTGAAGAAGGTGAACAAATAAAATGCTGTTTTTTATTTATCGGCTCACTAGTAATTAAAATTAAAAATAAATGACAAAATACACAAAAGTTTTATTTAAGTTAATTACATTAAAAACTTCTTAGTTCTCTTAGTAGTAACAGAACAAACAAGATTGCTTTCGAAACACCGTCACTGGTCGGGGCAAGTTCGTAGCGCCTAGCACGTAGCTTTTGCAATGCATTATTTTTCTATCGTGCGGACCACTATGGAATTTTCGTAAAATTGATGTAATTTAATTGTGCATTCACCCTATATAAAATGTCCTTCACATCTCGTCGGACTTCAAAGTTACGGCACACTTCGGTAAATATTAAAACTTGTACTGGTAATTGCAATTTAAAATAATATTTTTCAAATATCTTGCGTCCCCCGTAATATACACAAAACCTTAAACTCTCTCTGGACACACTTTAGGATACTGTTCATATCAAATTATCACAAAGTTTTTCATGTATCGCCAATAATTCACCCACAAAAGCGGAAATTTATAGGATTTATTAGAATTTTTTGCCCACAAACGACGCACCCTGTATATAATTCCAACAATGTTCGAAATAGAGGATATAGCCCTGGACCTCCTTAGTTTCCAATGAAGTAAATGTCAAGTAAGAGTAATTGTCAAGAATAAAAGTTTATGGAGTCGTTTCCCCTGCGTCTTCTGGTTCAAAAATTTGTCTTGTAAACGGTTTTTGGAAAATGGTCTTTTTTGTAGACCCTTGCACATGGAGAACGGACAAACAGACAAAAAAACATTTTTTTTCGACGGTGATCATTTCTGTACCAACGGCGATCCCATAGGGCCTACCGTTACCGAGATATAAAATTTTTATACGAGCGCAGATACTTTCGAAAAATTCGATTTCATCGATTTTCGAAAATAACAAGATTCATCGGCTATCAAATAAATACTCTATATTTCTGTACTACTAGAACCTAAATTAACTGAACTCACTAGCTGCAGTGACGGATCGAACTCCCTTCAGTTACTATTCAACTGTGTTTCTCAGAGCACCAGTTTAAATAGCAACTTATACAAGATTTACAAATCGTAAAGGCTCGACTACTAATACTAACCAAAACTAAACAACGAACGCAATAACAAAAATAATCAAAAAGCAGTTGGTTAACGATCAATTATGAAAGTAAAATAAACTTGAATGAATTTAATTTGGGACTAGGATAATAGATAGGAATACACAACTGCTTGGTGGTAGGTATGTTGACCATAAAACGCCATTGGAATTATTGTAAGCAAAGGCGCGGAACAAATTGCATCGATGTACCCGAAGCGGTTCAGGAAAACAAACTAACATCACTCTGTTTAAGTCAAGTAGTGTAAACGATCGTTCAGTTCGACGATTTATCGAACCCAAACGTATTAACCACCCATTCGTATAAATATTGACTCTACAATTCGAATGTTTACGGTCTAGCCACGTAACGCACAGCACAGCAACATTTTTTAAACAACATTCACTTATGCTTTCACCATTGGTCTACCTTTATGAAAGCAAGTATACGTTGATGCTTTGGAAAGGACTCATTCAATCAATTCAAATTATTTATTAAAAGGGATTTTAAGGGCGAAGCTCTTGAGTTGGTGAAATCATTTTTGTATCACAGAAAGTTTATTGCCAAAATAGATGATATTGCATATGGATTTGGGGGGTTCCCGGGGAGAACCACAATATACGGAATATCAATGAGCTTTTAGAGCACCCACCAACTAATCATGTATGTCTAATTATTTGTTGATGGCCCATCGATCGTGATCGCATTGGGGAATCCTCATAAACTAATAAACAATGGTTGAATGTAGGGATTGGTGGTAAAATCATCAATTGATTTCTACTGATTGCTTGCATAAAAAGAAGAACAATATAAAATATTTAATTTTGTAAAAAAATGAGGCTTACATAAAGAAGTCTAAATTACATTTTTAGTTTTAATGTGGGACTTGATTTGTCTGGCCTGTAGTTGGATAAACAATTTTGCACATGTATAGACTGTTTTTTAAAATATTGTCGATGATTATGATGTGAAAAACTGAGCCTGATATAGCCACGTATGTGTATGTATTATGTATATGTATTACATTAAAAAAATCAAAACTATCATTTAATAGACTGCAATCTTCGTAGATATTCCACTATGACCTTTATATATACGAACCTGTCCTTCATGTATGGGCAAAAAATTGTATTACAATGTTCCCTTTGCAATATAGATCTTAACCCAAAATAATTTTAAATTTATATTTGCAACATATTACTTTTTATTCTCTAAACTAGATTTGATTGTGTATTGCGTGGGTGGCTTTTATTGAAACTATACGTTCACAAGTGGCAGGAATTGATAATAAGTAACATATCGAAATAAGAGAATTTGCGGGGAAACCTTACTTTCGAAATATTTGTATACGTTCATAATCCTAATCCTAGTAAAAGAAGGTAATTTTGTGTGATTTTTATCAGAGTTTCAATACATGAAATGGAAACGTGGTTATCAAAATATCTGGGCGTATCGCTTCGAAGCTGCTGGCTACTCGATGCAACCGGAGGCGACAAAGATCCGGGAGATAAGAAAATATTTTCCTGCGAGGCGTTTTCAGTTCAACGAAACGCGGTGCCGGCTTGTCGTTCGGAGATAACGCAACATCTATATATAGATAATTCTACGGCAAACATTCGTCTTTAGGGGGATAGTGACGAACATTATTTTTTTCTAATTTTGACATCTGTTTTTTTATCCAGTATACTTTTTCCGTGTCAATCCCTGCCAATTTCAG